AATAAAACCAAGAAAAAACCCAGATGGTAATCAAGTCTTTCTGTCTGACTTGTAGATACTTACCTTTAGAGATAAAAAAGAAGTAAGTCTTAGGCTGAAAATTTCCATTCAGTTTCTGTTTGAATAGGAAGCTAGTCCTGTTAGGCAATAGAGGCTTTTTTGTGGTGTTGATACAAAAAGGTTTCTTTTAGCTGCTTGCATTTCCAGATAGTTTGGTTGGTGAATGAGTTTTCAATTTTTTAATTATTTTTTTTTCCCTAGTGTAGGAAAAAATTTCTGTGAGAGCAGAGGCAGTGACTTTGATAGAGGGAATGGCTGAATTAAGTTCCTTGATCTTCAGCCTTCTGACATGACACCTGAGTTCGTCAAAAATTACTTGGAATTAGTACTAGTAAGTTCTTTTAAAAAATAAGAATAATAGTTCGAAATTATGATATATTAGTGTTACACATTGTGAAAGAGGAATATAATTAGAAATGCTAGACCAAACTTCTTTTTTAAGTACAGGAAAAGCAAGCATGCAGTCTGCACTCAGAAAAGTGTTATATTTTGATCTTGGCATAAACATGGTCTTTTTTGGATCTTTGAATGCAGGGACTTAAGTGATAAAAATACTGTTGTGGTTTAGCCCCAGCCAGCAACTAAGCACCATGTAGCCACTCGCTCACACCACTATGGTGGAATGGGGGAGAGAATTAGAAGAGTAAAAGTGAGGAAACTCATGGTTTGAGATAAAGACAGGTTAATAGGTAAAGCAAAAGCTGCACATGCAAGCAAAGCAAAATGAGGAATTAAAACACTGCTTCCCATTGGCAGACAGGTGCAGCCATCTCCAGGGAAGCAGGGCTGCATCAGACGTAATGGTTTCTTGGGAAGACAGACGCCATAACTACAAATGTCCCTCCACCCCTTGCTTCTTCTTTGTTCCAGCTTTATATACTGAGCATGACATCATATGGTATGGAATATCTCTTTGATCAGCCTGGGTCAGCTGTCCCAGCTGTGTCCCCTCCCAGCTTCCCATGCATGCCCAGCCTTCTTGCTAGCAGGCCAGCACAAGAAGCTGGACTATCCTTGACTACTTAGCAACAACCCAAAACATCGCACATTATCAACATTTTCTCATCCCAAATCCAAAACATAGCCTTACACTAGCTTCTGTGAAGAAAATTAACTAACTCTATCCTGTCTGAAACCAGGATGAATACCAATTTTCTCTCTAATTTTGAAAATATTTTTAATCCTAAAAACTGAGCACTTAATCTGTAGCTCTTACTGTATGGTGTGTGTTTTGCCTCGTGTTCCCCATCACTGTTCCTTTAAATTTCTCAGAGGAAGCTCCTTTGATGTACGGACTGTTGAAGCTATTGGTGTGTTACAGATTATTACATGTCACACAGTGCTGCTCAGTACTGTCTAAACAATCCACAATGTGTCTTTATTGCATATGTTTATGCAGAACTTACGTATTACACCATTTCTTACATCCTTTGCAAACAAGGGTTTTAGGTTGCTGGGTCATAGTACTGTCTTTGTATAGGTTGTGCCCTCAAGTCAGCGTCATGCTGAAGCTTAGGTTGAAACATCATATGAAAGGACAGGATGAAATAAACGTGCGTTGGTGGTCCTCATAGAGCTTATCAGTTACTTGTCCTGTGGCCGGGGAACAGGAAAGGTCCTCACAATTCAGCAGAAAGGAAGTCATACCTGTTAATCTTACTTATTTTTTTGTATGCGCTGGAGTTGCATCGAGAACTCTGGGAGTATGTGGTGCACATGAGCAAGTATACAGGAAGAAACTTTAGTGTAGTTTTCACACATCTATATTAATTTGGATAATTAGAGCTGAAGTAAGCTCTGCCCAACATAGACTAGTCTTGCGTGCATGAACTCCTATAATGCCTTTTATTAGTTAATTTCAAACTATTTTTAAGCATGTATGAATACTGCCACAGCATCTTAAGATGATAAATGTATTAGCAAGTTCTTGATGTTTCCCTAGTTTTAAAATTACTTGCTGCTACTCAGTTTGTCTTTTCCCATTTCCTTGTGCTGATTTAACACTGTAGGATAAGAAAGCTTAGTAAGACGTTATTGGTACTATGGCCTTTAAATTTTATTTTTCTGGTTTTGTCTGTTCTGTGTACCAATTAGCTGCTAGTCTACAGTAGTGATCCTGCATTGTCTTTCATACGTGGTATCATTAAGGCAGCCCTAAATCAGTTGTGATGAACATTAGTATTTGCTCTTTCTTCTTGTTTCTTGTCATTTCTTTTCTTTCTCTTCCCATCCCTTTTATTTCTACCGGCAGGTTTGTTTTGTATTTGCATTTGTCTTGCATTTATTAGTAGTGTGGTTGAATATTGATTTTAAGATTGTTACTCTTGTTAGTTGTTATGCAGTTGGTTTGTATTTGTCTTCTCTTGTCCAAATCAGGCCAATTTATTGTGGGAAACAGGGTTTATGAAATAGCTCTTGCTTTCCTGGTCCTACTCATAAGCCTAATAGAAATCCATTCCTAGATTCCTAGCTTTGTTGGGAGCTAGTTGGTGAGATAAGGAGTCTATGTGTATTGTCTGACTATTGAATATTGTATGAATCACATCTGTTGACAGGTTGGTATTACTTAACAGAGACCTTAGATGATAGCTAGATGATCTCTTCATAAAGAAAAAGATCTGGAATTAGTCAGGATTTTTGAATCCAACTCCAGAGAACTAGCATTATCTGTTAGACTCCCCCCCCCCCGCCCCCATTTCAATCCCATTGCTTTTGAACCTGCTACTTAATTCCTGTGTGAAAGCACATCAAGACACTTAAAATTTCCCATCAACTATGAATCTAACTGATGTGATAAGTAAACTGGATTTTTTTTTTTTCCCCCTTTAGTCTCTCCACCATTCTCTCCTGTAGCGGGTTACATGTTTCTTATAATTTTGGCAGATAGTTTGACCGAGATGGCTTACTCCAGCGTCAGTTTCCCTTAGAAAAGAGGTGCTTTGTTTTGGTTGCCTCTGGCTCTATGTGCAATTGAACCTATGGTTAGCACTATATAGGATGTATGAAATAGTTTACTGCTGTATGGGAAGTTAATTACCATCCTCATGGCTTAGTGCTTTGCAACTCTTTTTACATTTGGTAATCCACATTATTCTTGCCCTCTTTGGGCAAGCCTTGTCCTGCGTAGAAGTATTTGATTCCCTTCCCTTCCTCCAAGGTTATGTAGAATTTACACATTTTTTTCAGCTTTTTGTCACTGGGACTTGTCTGGCTGATATTTACTTGTGTGTCAAGGTTTCTCTATGCTGAATTTTCTTCGATTTATCTTCATTTATACTTAGTGCTGACTGCCACAGTCCCCTTGACATTTACTTATGGCACTTTGTTATGCTGAGAAATGATGTTGGTTTATAGTGGTCTGATTTACTCAGCGTTAAAGGTAAGGTAACATTTGTGTACAAGAACACTACTACAGTTACAGTCTTTCCGGAAGATTGTCATGGAGTGCCATTAATTTCTGGTAAACAGTTTAAACTCTGGTCATATTCTGTAGCAGGTGCCCTGCTTTATTTGGCAAGTGAGGTTAATGTTATAGCACCATGCCTGAAGTAAGCCTCTGGTGACTGAAATAGGAAGTTTGGGAGCAGGCTTGTTGCTTCCCAGTTTTCCTCTAGGCAGGTGCAAGGAAACCCAGCAGCTGTGTGTTTCTCCATATCTCCCCCTTCAGAACAAGGAAGCTTCACCACAGTCTTGTTTGTTTCTCTTTATTTCAAAGTTGACAGTTTGCAGAGAGCTAATTGAGGTGCAGGCTACAGGAGTTTGTTTATAAATAGCTTAATTTCTTCTTTACTGGTACAGTTTTGTTGGTGTTAGCAAAAGCAGAAAGAGGAACGATTTTACTTTGTTTTCTGGTTTTAAAATGTTGTCAATTAAGTATGTTCTAGGGCAGAGGATGTTCTGTCTGCGCTCTCCCCGCACCACCCCATCTCCAGCTGACTGTCAGCCAACTGAATTGTGCTGGTAGAGATCGGCTAGATTTTGATACAGCTTTTGGTTGTATCATTTTTGATTCTGGCTTGTTTACCCTCTTTTCAATGTGTACCTAATGTGAAATTATTTTGCTCTGTGGTGGTGTAATTCCAATGTTTTTTCTCATGGTATCTTTGAAATAGGGTAGTATTAACCTAACAAGCAATCTTATTAAGATTTTAACTCAGCTTCTTTGTGAAGTTGTTGTAGAAAACCAAATATTTGTAAGTTTGTGAATGGTCATGAAATAAATATTTCTCTTTAATTATTGTGGTTTCTAAGTATCTGGTTTAAATCTGGTTTAAAATTAATACACAGGTGTAATAATCTGGCAGCTCAAGTATATGCCAAGGAAGGCATCTTGGCACAAGTCATACCATCAGTGACAATTCAGAGATGTCTGCATGGGGAATTTTGCTGCTGTTATTTTAACATAAAGAGTCTGCATAGCTTTTTTTTTTGAGAGCGAGATATGTGCTTCTAAGTTACTTTTTTTTTTTTTTTTAAGGAGTACTGATCTATAAAGATTGAAATCAATCTTTTATATTTTAGTTGGACAGGTCTTTCTGGAGTAGACTTAACTGTTAAGAGATGTGTATGTATATATGGGTTTTGATGGAGCTAAACAAGGATTTTGGAGGGATTAGGGGTGGAAAGTTTGCGTGGGTAAAAAACATTTCTACCAATTCTGTTTCCCTGCTTGACTCTTCCCTATGAATTTGAATGTTCTTGGTTTATCTTGGTTTTTTAGGCTTCACAAAGAGTATCTGATCACACTGTAAATTCTGATTTCATGTTTATTTTTAACTTTATTCATCTCAGCTTATTTAATTAACTGCATCCATTTGTGTGCTACCCATTTGTCTGGTCTAACTTAACAGTTGATTTATAGATGAAGCGAAGGCAACTTCTGTTCTTTTAATCCTGTTACTTTGGCAATTGTGTAATATCCTACTAACTTCTCATTGCAGCCAATCAGATGACGATTCTGGGTCAGCATCAGGTTCTGGATCTGGTTCAAGCTGTGGAAGCAGTAGTGACGGAAGCAGCAGCCAATCAGGCAGCAGTGACTCTGACTCTGGTTCGGAGTCAGGCACTCAGTCAGAATCAGAGTCTGACGCATCTAGAGAGAATAAACAAATTCAAGCTAAACCGCCAAAAGTTGATGAATCTGAGGTAAACAAAACATATAAATGAACCCTTTGTGAGGGGAAAAAAAAATTAAAAACTCACTCTGTGCAGTTAGTTTAAAGAGCTGTTTTCATTTTAAAAAAAAAGAATAAAAAGAGGAAATGAAGTGTTTAATTAGATTTTAACTTGGTCAGGTTAATGAATGCATGTGCTTAGCTGTCTTAAACATTGGGATAAGTTTCTCATTAATAAGTACTTGAATTGACGCTTTTAAAACTCTCAAATTTATAAGTATTTTGAGTTAAATGCCTACCTAAATTTCATCATGCAGAAGCACACACCAATTTACTGGAATTTATGGAAGACAAAGGCACACATAAAGTTGTTATTTCTGAAATTCTGTTTTTTATATTGTTTCTCTAATGCTTAGTTTCTTTTTATCAATAAATGATTGTATAAAAATTTCAAGCTTACATAGTTGGCTTTCTTTACCTGTAAGTCAGCTAAATTCGGGAAAAAGTGGTGTTTAGAAATCTCTTAAATCCATTTGGCCAAAATTACCTGCACTCTCCTGTGTTACATGAACTTAATTTGGGTAGTACACCATATTTATGAAATGTAGCTGTATATTAGTTACCACAAGAATTGAAGATTGTTAGGGATTCTCTGTTAATATTTTTGTTCATGAACTTCAGTATTACTGTATGAAACAAACGTATTAGCTAAGTTTTCTGAAAGGTATTAACTGGATCAGTTTAAAATGTTTTAAATACTTTATAAATGTTTTACATTAACAACACCTACACAATTACAGTTAAACATGCTGTAGAAATTGTTCTGGCAGTTACTATAAAACATTGTGTTCTTCAAAAATCTTACTACTTTAAAAAGCTCTCCGATACTATTCGTGCATGCAGTATTTTGTAATGAATTTTTTTAATTGATAAAAATAAGATTAATCTTAATAGTGATGCTACTCAGGAAAAGTAAATATGTGGTAAACTGGAGACTTTCAGTATGTTTAACTGACTCTTGCATCTCCGTTTCTGTTCAGTTTTGGAAGTCTAGTCCAAGTATACTTGCTGTGCAAAGATCAGCAGTTCTTAAGAAGCAACAGCAACAACAAAAGGCAGCCTCATCAGACAGTGGTTCAGAAGAGGTGAATAACATCATTTAGATATTAAAAATGTAAACATGCCCATCTCATTGTCTCATATGTTAGAATAAAATTATGTAAAGCCAAGTTATATTCTCTTTGTGCATAAAAGTCTGGTTTTAGTCTATAAAAGTAACATTCAAATAACGGACATTTTTATAAGGAAAAGTAAAAATATCTCTAGTTACCTGTTTTCTAAGTGAGTTGTGCCAAAATTATAGCAACCTCGATTTATGTGGTATTTTTAGATAGGTATTCTGTGATATATGGACAGAATTTTCAAGCCACACAGTACTGACTTGCATTGTATTTTTGAATTCTTGAGTTTTGTAAAGACAGTTAAAAATGCTAAAAGTTTTTTTCAACTTGTTTCTGTGTAAGGGTAGCTGCTGTGGTTTATCAAAAATACCATGGATTAGAAAACTGTATTTTTGCAAATTTTGTAACGGTTACTACAAAAGAATTCTTGTATTTTAAGAACGACACTTGTATTCCAGGTATTTTAAAACCTAAATCATAGGCTAAAGAAGCATTGGCTTTGTGCAGTAGGAACATCTTGTAAGGATACTAGGGACTATGAAATGGAATTCATTTCTAAAGCAGACATTTTTTCCTTCATTACAAAAACTATGCAGTGTAGTCACACTCATTTGCTTGGATTTCTGTTTTTTGTCTGGTATATCATCATTAAAACACTAATTTACAGCTATTGTTAAGTACTCTCTTTTTGAAAGGTGTTTTTCAGGATAAAACTTAATCTAGATCTAAACTTAATCCTGATGAGATTGGTTTTAGAAAAATCTAAATTTAAGAGGATTCTTTGTTTTTCTTTGAACACAAAGAAACATGCTCGTCTTGAAATTTTCTTAAATTGGTGTTTAAGTGTGAAAGAATATGGAAGCTGAGAAAGCTCCTGAGGGTAGTAGATTTTATTAGGATTTTCAAAGAATCGTTATCTTTATTAACTTGGGGCAACTTAAACCATGGCTGTTTTTATGTAGGCACAATGGTTATTTTTTAAGACAGGGTTTTTTGTGATGTTCTCTAGAGCTGTGTTGGCACAATGTGTTCACAGGTGGATAAAACCAAAAACAATAACAGTCCTTAACTAAGTCTGCATTAACAGCTACACTGCAGGGGATGAAGAGGGTAAAACATGAATAATATGCCTCCAGTTTAAAAGTGGGAGCTGATTCAGCTTTTTAATTCAGCTTTTTAATTCAGCTTTTCTAACTTCAGTTAGAAGTACTTCATTCTTTTCGTAATAATGAGTTTTTTGGCTTTTTTTATTCACCGCAGGACCCATCAAGTAGCGAAGATTCTGCAGATGACTCATCCAGTGAAACCAAGACAAAAAAACATAGAGAGTAAGATATTTCATAAGTTATATCACACAATTGTTTTGTCATAGTGATGTATGCTCATAATTCATGGTTCATTTCTCCACACTTGACATGTTTAAGTTGCCTTTTTAATTCATCTTGATCTTGCATTTCCAATTTTGATAAATGTTTAAAGTAAACTCTCAAAGGAACATCTATATCATATTTATTTCTGAGCAAAAGAGTCTGCAGTATTGTTCAAAAACATTTGTGCTTTTATTATTAAAATACCTTGTTGCAGTTTAGGAATGGCCTTCAGCTCAAAAATAAAAATTCTTGTAGAAATGGAAAACTACTTAAGTAGGTTGTTTCAGAACAAATTTAAGTTAGAATTCTTCAGTTAATGCCAGATTCTTTTTGTTTTGTTTTGTTGGTTTTCTTTCCCTCAGACGTGTTTAAAAGTTGTTATAGTTCTGATAAAATTCTTTGCTAGTCAGTAATTACTAATTGAAAATAAGCTTCTTCTAAATGATAGATCAAGAAGTTTGTGAAAAGGATTATACGTTGTTATTGTGGCAGTGAGAGGCAGTGACCTGTGTTTTTTATGAATGGTGTGTAGAAATTGAACAGTTCTGTCATTCCTCTTCTCCCAGTTCATGAATTGCCTCAGTGTTCAGGGTTATCAGTGTTACCAGTGTAATATCTTAAAGAAATGGTAGTTGAAAAAAAAAAAAGGGGGAGTGAAAAAAAAAAAAAGTGCTAACTATGCAAAATGGTATTTTTTCCTAGCAATGAGCTGTTACTACCAGTTTTTTGTTATTTAAGAATTTGATGGCATATAATTGCATAGTCCATTACAGAAAAGATGTTTCAGTTTAGGAACCCATAACCAAATCATATATCCAGTGCTTGAATTTCTGTCCTATGGCTCTTCTGAACAAGTATGTCTGAAGTTGTTATCTGACATGAATATTGGAGATTTCTTGATCTATAGCTTGGTACATGATCAAGCCTTAGAGAATGGTGCTTTATATCTGGTTTTAATATTTCCAAATAAACACAGGTCATGGATTTATGTTGTTATTTTGTTACTTTACTGTTTGCAGAAAAAGTATTTTAATAAGACATTCTGTACCATTGGCTGTGTGCCACCTGTACAATAGACATGTATATGTATTTGTCTTGGATGACTGGAACAGTGGGAATGTAATTTCCTCCAGGACCCAATGTCCTGGAAGAAGGAGAAGCAGTAATTCCTAGGCTTCCTGATTGTAAATTTAAGGAACAGATTTCTTGTTAATATTCGGTTTTGAGCATTGCTACTGCTTTAGCACTTCAGTTAACTAGATTTAAACTTGATGTTAGTATAAAGACCTAGCAATGTTTCAGTAATGTATACCAGACTTTGTTTTTTTCCTTTCTTTTTCATGAAGCTATTAAGAGTAAATTTGCCTGTATAAAGTCAGAGTTTGAAGCAGGATATTGTCCATCAGTGGGTACATCTTTCCTGTGGCAAAGTAGATCTCTGTTAAGCAGGAACAAGGAGATCCTACTGCTCTGTCACAGGTGTCTTACTCAGTATCTTGCCTGGTTGTGAAGCAGTGATCTGGGAGCTCAGTAGGAGCTTTTGGGAGCCAGTGCCACTTAACAGGTTGCTCCAATTTAAGGTTTTCTGGACATTTCTCAAATCTGCCTCTATTTTTTGATTCCTGTGCCAAAGCTGCCAATTCCTCACATGGGCCACAGGTACCATAGGCATTAGATTCTACAGAATATAGTATGACAGGGCTTTATGTGTAAGTTCTGATAAATACACATCTTTCCAGTTAGGCTTGTTAGGTGCTTTGGTTTCTTAATGTCATGTTAATACATTTCTTCATGCTGAAATTTATATAGAAGTCCAGATTTTTGTTTCATTTTGGATTTTAAATCTACCTCTCGATAACAGAAAACGTAGTCTAAGTCCCTTTGAAGCCATTGGGCATTTTTACTTACCTGCTATTCATTGATGACAATTTTCTCTCTCATCAGCTGAAATAACTTTTAGAAGATTCTTATTTCTGTGAAAAACATTGAAATTACAGCAGATACCTGTGGATGAATGCCTGATTTAAAAAAAAAAAAAATTATGTTACTCTCTTGTCTTTCAATATATTATACAGTGAAGACTGGCAAATGTCAGGATCAGGGTCAGTATCGGGAACTGGTTCTGATTCTGAATCAGAGGAAGATAGGGAGAAGAGCAGTTGTGAAGAAAGTGAATCTGACTATGAGCCAAAAAACAAGGTCAAAAGCCGGAAACCTCCAAGCAGGTAAGAAGTCAGTCATTTTGATACTCTGGTACTATTTCTAATAAGCAGTTGAATATTTACTACTACTATAACGACTATAGATGCAAATGAAAACATTAAGCGTTTTTTTAAAGCTACATAAGGTGTTAATATACTAATGCTTTCTAGTGAATGCTTTTTCCTGTCTGCTGTAACTGAAAGTGGAGTAACTGAGCATTCATGAAATACATGTATTCAGAAAGCAATACAGAACATTTATAGTTGTCCCTGTTGAGACATCATTGTTGTGTGATACCTTATTGTCTTCAAGAATTAAGCCCAAAAGTGGGAAGAAGAATGCAGGACCAAAAAAGAGGCAACTTGATTCATTGGAGGATGAGGAGGAGGAAGAGGAGGAAGAGGAGGATGATTATGATAAGAGAGGATCTCGTCGCCAGGCAACAGTCAACATTAGTTACAAAGAAGCTGAAGAAACCAAGACAGATTCTGATGATTTGCTGGAAGTTTATGGAGAAGATGTCCCACAAACTGAAGAAGATGAATTTGAAACTATAGAGAAGTTCATGGATAGTAGAGTTGGCCGAAAAGGAGGTAATTTTTTTTTTTTTTGGTCAGTGTTGTTAAGATCCTGGAGTGCATTGTGGTGCAACTTCAGCAAACATTTTCAACTGTAGGTCACCTGTGACATTTATAAACAGCAAAAATTTTAAAGTTACCAAAAAGTCATCTTGTTTTGTCTTTCATATTCAAAAGGATGTTCCTTTTTAAAGTCCCTTCTAGGTGTTTGCAAAATAAAATGTAGAATTGCAAACCTAAGCACAAAAAACAAATTAAGTGGAAAATAGCTCCATGTTGCATAAAGGCATACCATATTGTTACACCACTGTTCGTACAGTTCAGGGATACTTTTATCAGTATAAATTACATAAAGTGGAGTGGAGAAAGTGGACTAGATAGAAGAGCTGACTAGTAACCTGAACCCTGAAAGATGGTGTTGGCAAGGCTGAACCACTGAGGTTATGATTTCAGTTATTGCTGTACAAATTGTCTCAATAGAATGCAGTACCCCAACTCAATTCCTGGGGCCCTTGCACTTCAGAGTGCAACCTGAAGTTGCAAGTAACCTTTCTCCATTAGTTATACCCAATCTCTAAAGTTTCTGACCCATCTCAGAACTTGCATTCTTCTTCCTTTCAATGTTAGTCTCCTATGCTATCCCAAATTCTAGCGTATCCTGCTCCAATGCATAGTTACTGCAATGGTCAAAGTCTTTGGAACTAAGCTTCTTATATTCTTCCTGGCCAGATGATGTTGCTGCTTTGTGCTGTCTTTTGCTGTTGCCATTCTCTGTTGCTTTATTTGACCCCTGCAGCTTGCTGGGCTCATTTCCTGACCTGGCTGTCCCCACAGAAATGAGCCTGTTTCCTGCTGCTAAGTATGCTTCAGTTGTGATACAGACTATACTTAATTAAAAATGTTCCCAGGTAAGATAACAAAGGCAGAAAAAGTAGTAAAACCTGTGTAGGAAGAAATAGTTTTATAGTATCCTTTCAGGGCTGACCACACATAATGTCAAATGTCATTTGTACACTCAGAGATGAATGTAACAGAAAATGACAAGCAGCATTAGTAGAGCATTCCCTCGTGATCACTTTTAAGAACTAGGAATGCAAAGAAAATTCTCATGAGAAAAGATAAGATATTGTAGGTTAGCTGCAGAAGTTTTGGTTGCCTTTTTGATTCTCTTTTGACTACTTGTGCATGTGTTAACACATCTACATCACAAACGTTCAAATAAGAGTAATGGCATGAGAGCTGTAGATACTAGTCAAGTATATACTCATCTAAAAGTATCACTAATTGCTTACTACACTGCATTTCTTACTGGTTAACTGGTGACAATGCACAATTAATTAAGGCTTATGATGTGGTTTCTTTCTCAGCCACGGGTGCTGCAACCACCATTTATGCAGTTGAGGCAGACGGTGACCCAAATGCTGGATTTGAAAAGTCAAAGGAGCCAGGAGAAATACAGTATCTTATTAAATGGAAAGGTTGGTCACACATCCATAACACTTGGGAAACTGAGGAAACGCTGAAGCAACAAAATGTTAAAGGAATGAAGAAATTGGACAACTACAAGAAAAAGGATCAGGAAACAAAACGATGGTGAGTATTTTTATGTAGACTTCTGCGATACTTATTTTGTAACAGTGTAGATGTTCTGTTGTGTTTCTGAGACCCGTTACCTCTTTTTGAGGGCATAATTTCAGGTGTCTATGCAACAGGAAGACGAGAACTTTATAAGTTGAAGTCTCCTTAACATGTTCCTGTAAGACAATCTTCTGAACCTGATTTTAGTGTGTGTGTGTTATTAGTGGAATTTTAATAAGGTGGGTAGTGTTTAAATAACAAATCATACCTACTACTAATTTTGTTGTTACATTTTGATCAGAGTTCTTCAGGAATTGCTGCAGAGATTAATGTTTTCTTGGTGCATTAGCCATTTCAGATAACCTTCAAGAATTCAGTTTTCTCGACTCAAACCTGAGGATAAGCCTGAGAACAAAAACCTGAAGAAAAATCCATACATTTTAAAGTCACCTTTTTTGTATTCATTTCTATTAGTATCAGTGAATACTGGTGGGATTTTTAGCAACTTACTGTAACATGTATTCTTACAGAGTGAGCTACCCTGAATTGTACTATTCCATCAAAATACCCTGTAAAGTACACTACTTATTGTTGAGAATAGGTATTCTGAGTTAGCTGCATGACTAGTACCGCTTGTAGCTGTAGTAGTTGTGTCTCTTGATAAGAATTCTCAGTAATTAATGATGAGGCACCTAGGCCAGACGTAACAATTTTGTAGTAGGAATTTCTAAGTTGTCCCTTCAAAGAAGCTTTGTAAGCAACATATCTGTGATGCTTACATTCAGAGCTTTAGAGTTGCCAAATTTTCTTAGTTTTAGAACTATGTAGTGTAAGAAGTGTTGTAAATTAACTCCCGTTACAGGTTGAAAAACGCTTCTCCAGAAGATGTGGAATATTACAATTGCCAGCAGGAGCTTACAGATGATCTACATAAACAATATCAGATAGTGGAAAGAATAATTGGTATGTTACAAACTTATGCACACAAAATAGCATTGAGAATTCTATATGTTCACTGCTTTTGTCTTGCATTTGTAGTTGCGAAGTTTAGAATATGAATATCACTAACTTCATAATCCAAAAGAAAACTTTGGGTAAAGAGAAAAGTTGTCATACTGTCTGTGCTATAAAGGTAGCTTATGTCATCTTATTACCTAAAATGAATGTTTTCATAAGATACAGAAGTAAAATGCTGATCAGATATCTCTGGTGCATTTCTGCAGCTCATTCAAATCAGAAATCAGCAGCTGGTTATCCAGACTACTATTGTAAATGGCAGGGTCTGCCTTATTCAGAATGTAGCTGGGAAGACGGTGCGCTCATTTCCAAAAAGTTTCAAGCACGCATTGATGAGTACTTTAGCAGAAATCAATCCAAGACCACTCCTTTTAAGGACTGCAAGGTGAGAATGTAATTTGCAGTGCATTTATAATCAGTTGTACTATATCTGGCTGGGATGGAGTTAATTTTCTTCATAGCAGCCTGTATGGCCTGTTTTAGATTTGTGACCTCAACAGTGTTGATAACACATTAAGTGTTTTGTTATCAACAGTGTTGATAACACATTAAGTGTTTTGGCTGTTGGTGAACAGTGCTTAGACAGTGCAAGACCTCTGTTTCTTGCTGGGCCCTCCCCGCCATGAGTAGGCTGGGGATGGGCAAGGAGCTGGGAGGGAACACAGCCGTACAGCTGACCCCAACTGACCAAAGAGATATTCCATGGTAATGTCATGGTCAGCAATAAAACTGGGTGGGCTGAGCAGGGTGTTTGAAGGTGGCTGTTGCTCAGAGACTTGCTGGTCATCAGCCTGCTGGTGAGTTAATGTGTGAATTCTTTTCTGTCACTTGTGGGGTTTTTTTTGATGTGCATTTTTGTTTTGGTTGGTTGGGGTTTTTTTCCTTCACCTAGTAAACTCTTTATTTCGACCCACAGGTTTTTTGCAGTTTTGCTCTTTCAGTTCCCTCCCCTGTCCTGCTGGGGTGAGGAGTGAGTAAGCAACTGGGTGGCAGCCTAGTGCCAGCCAGGTTCAAGCCACCACATCAGTTGCGATAGTAAAAATATGAAAATCTTCAATGAATCCGGAGATAAGATACATATTATGAAGTATTTCTGAAGGTTGTTCAGAATAGTAGTAATGATATAGTAATATATACGGAAAATATCACTATTGAGCATAGGTTTTTGTAAATGCTAGTAGCCTGCATTTTTACTAGCATTCAAAGGTGGGCTTGTTTAGTATTGTAGTTTATTTTAAAAGTAAACTTTGAATGAGTTATATTTACTTCCCCTGTGAAATTTAGATTAGCAGTCAACCTAATTTCAATTGCAAATTGCCTGGTGTTTTTTTATGGCCTAGTTTTCATTGATGGATAAAAACTAGACTTGGTGACCCAGTAGATCACTACTGCTATTTTTTCTATAGGAAGATATTTTGGAAACTTCAGTCAGTAGCAGGACTGAAGATCAATTTTCTTTTGACAGGCTCTAAAACAGAGGCCAAGGTTTGTTGCACTAAAGAAGCAACCATCTTACATTGGAGGACATGAAACTTTAGAGTTAAGAGATTATCAGTTAAATGGATTGAATTGGCTTGCTCACTCATGGTGCAAGTAAGTATAGTCTGAAATGAGTTTTTCTGTTTGTAAATTGTAAGCATTTGTAGAACTTTGATTTTTGTGGTGGGTTTTTTTGTGGGGTTTTTTTTTGTTTGTTTGTTTGTTTGTTTTGTTTGTTTTTTTTTTTTTTTTTTATGTGGAGGGTTTCATACAGTAAGCTCAAAGTAGAGGTCTGAGGGGAGTGGTTTTGCTCTAAGTGGTACCAAACCGTGTAATTCCCTGGCTGTTCTCAAAAAACATCTAAGCTCTGTTGCTTTGCTTTTAATATCGTATGAGGGTAAGTCATATTTTTAGAAAACAAAACAGTAAAACCAGAAAATCAAACACAAAGTCTTTTAAAATGTCAACATTAGTGTTATACTTTTAAAATTAGGCTCATGAGGAATACTTGCAAGTTATTTGTTATTTTTGTTAATTTAATTAAAGTATTAAGGGAGGGGGTTGGAAATTTTTTTAATGGAAAAGCAATGGAAATAAACTTCTTCAAGATGTATAGTTGCAAGACCTTGAAAATTTTTATGAGTGGGTTTTATGCTCAAAAAATAGTTTCTTCTTGTCCAATCCCTCTTCCTCTAACATCACACCCCCTTCCCCCCCCAATTTTCGTTTTAGAGGGAATAGCTGTATTCTCGCAGATGAAATGGGTCTGGGTAAAACAATACAAACAATTTCTTTTCTGAACTACCTGTTTCACGAGCATCAATTGTATGGGCCTTTTTTGCTGGTTGTGCCACTTTCTACCTTGACATCTTGGCAAAGAGAGATTCAAACTTGGGCTCCTCAGATGAATGCTGTAGTTTACTTAGGAGATGTAACTAGCAGAAATATGGTGAGTATTTCTCTTTGTTGTTGGAAGGGCTTGTAGATAAACAAGACTGGCTTCATATTCCTGTCCTCTGCTATCTCCAGTATTTTGGTTAGGACTGAGCAAATACTTCCTGAAACACTGTGTGTTTAACATGCAGATGGAAAGCTTAGATTTTGATTTGATACAAATGTGTGTGAAAGATTTCCTTCCTGTTTAATAGTGAATAGGATTAAAAAATTTAGTCTTGCATTTGAAAACAGCTTATCTTCTGACATATGATTATTTAGGTGGGTGTAGTAAAAATAAATAGGTAAGCAAGCCAGTCATGATCTTAATATTTCCTGAAACGTTGTTTTCTTAATGTGTTTTCTGAATGTTAGTAATCTTACACATTAAAGTAAAAAATGTTTTGTAGAAGTACTTTACTGTTTATTCAGAAGCTTAAACAAAATATTTTTTGAGTGCTTAGATTGGAAGTTCAGTCTTGTGTATGTTAATATATTGTGCCTCTGTTTTGCTATCGTGTTATTGTATGTCATTAAATATTTACATTGTGGCAGTACTTAAATTCATGCCAGTCAACAAGATCTTTTTTCCCTAGCTTATGGTTCACCTGATTGTTTTTGTAGATAAGAACTCATGAATGGATGCACCCACAAACCAGACGATTAAAATTTAACATACTTCTAACAACGTATGAAATTTTGCTGAAGGATAAGGTAATCACACTTTTCTGCAAGGAGATAAAAATCATTTCTCCAGTGTAGAACTCTCTTTAGACTTGCATGTATTTGGTTTGTGGGCCATTAAATTTATGGACAGTGTGATAGCTTTTGCTTTTGGAAGTATGACAGTGTGTGGTTTGGGGTTTGGGTTTTGGCGTTTTCTGTGTGTGTTTGGGTTTTTTAAGGACTTCCAGATTTTCTCTGTGTCTGGTGAGGCTTTCAGCCTTTTTCCATTTCATTAAGTGGGTAACTCTTCATTTTCTCCAGTTTGCTTGAGATTCTTATTACTGTAATAATCTTTTCCTGACTTCAAGAACTCTACTTCTTTGCAGACCACCATCAAGGAACTGAAAAAGAACCCAACCCTTAGCTCCAAACATGATACAGAACTCTGAAATCGCATATAGTTTTTCTTTTTTATTGTGCATACAGTAGTAGGTGTACATGTATTCATACTGTCTCCATAGTAGTAGCACACAGAGTTATTGTTAATCCTTCTAACAATATATGGAAATTTTTATAGGTAGTAAAGAAACAGAACATTTTTACTGAATTTGTTTGTACATGCTGGGAAGAAGAGGTCAATAGTGATATTATTTTCTTCCATGTAAAAATTAATGTGGGCCAGACTTCTGGCCATTATTTTCCTTTTAAACTTAATTTATACTAACTTGGGATGCTTGCATAGCGTTTCATTGAATCTGGCAAATTTAAAAGCCATAATTATTACTAAAAACATATAGCTGTCCATATTTTAGTAAAGTAAGCCAAGAAATGATGGTGTTTATAGCCTGATTATAAAATGTGGGAAATTATGCAATGTGTGTGTTTGTATAATGTTCATCTCCTCCTTAATTTCTTTAAGTCATTCCTTGGTGGTCTGAATTGGGCGTTCATAGGAGTTGACGAAGCTCATCGTTTAAAAAATGATGACTCCCTTCTGTACAAGACTTTAATAGATTTTAAGTCTAACCATCGTCTTCTTATTACTGGAACCCCTCTGCAAAACTCCCTCAAAGAGCTTTGGTCTTTGTTGCACTTCATCATGCCAGAAAAGTAAGGAAGCGTTTTACATGATTCTTTTTAACAGTTTTTGGGGTCCAATTTGTTATTGTGAAGTAGCATAGTGATTTGAAAAGCAACAGAAGTAGAGAATCATGCTGAAAGATAATTTAAATATCCTATATAAAGTAGGTGCTTTTTTTTTTTTCATGCTGCTCCAGATAACACTGGTAGCAGTTGTAACCTTTTCCCATTTTAACAGTCCACAAAAATGATGGATTGATGTATGGGTCAGAACCTGGAAAAAAGGCTTCATCTTAGCGTAAGAGGTAAACAATTTGGATTTATTCTGGGGAAATAGAATGGAATCTTTTCTGTGTTAGTACTATTAATGAAAACAAATTTGTACCCAGATGTTCAATATTCTGTAGTTCAGTCAGATAGCTGGTTTTCCCATATGGTTTGTATACAGTAAACTTACTGTATTGACCTTACTTTGTAGTGACCTCTGCTTATACCCAAGATAAATTAGAGCTCATGTGTGAGAGCACATTCCTGTTAGACATCTTGTAGATGCCAAGCACCATAGCTCCATTTAATTTGGGCTATGGATTTTACTGACTTCTTCAGAACCTTACAAGCAAAGCCACTATGGTCTAGTACCCATTCTTCATTTGATCGTTAAGTCTGTTCTACTCTGTTAACAGAGAGGATAGTTACACTTCAGCTAGACCATACAAGCTGCAAAACATATATTAAGTAGTCTCTTGTTCTCTTGCACACCCTCCAGCCATGCAGCTGTTTTTTCATGCTGCTCTTGATAAATGTAATAATGGAATTTCTGCAACCATCTAGGTGAGTATACTTGCATAAAAAGAAAAATGTTGTGTTTCCACTGGGGAAGTTAAAATTTAGTAGTTTTCATTCTGCAAATGCTTTTGGAAAGTGCCGTTCTTCTATTTACAGGCAAAGTATTTGGATTTTCTTGTGAGATGAAAATTCAGAAATTGGTTAAATTGAACAGAAGGGAGTGGGGAAGAAGTCCAAATGTGTTTGTGCTCTTCTGGTATATCTGGTATACATGTTCTGTGTTTGTGTTAGCTTTCTTCTTGAATTTTGCTTCCTCAGGTCATTAGCAGTATGTCACTATTTTGCGCTCATTCTTTATGTTGAAGGTTTTCTTCCTGGGAAGATTTTGAAGAGGAGCATGGCAAAGGGAGAGAGTATGGTTATGCAAGTCTTCACAAAGAACTTGAACCATTTCTGCTGAGAAGAGTTAAAAAGGATGTAGAAAAGTCTTTACCTGCTAAAGTTGAGCAAATTCTGAGGATGGAAATGAGTGCGTTGCAGAAGCAATATTACAAGTAAGTAACAACACTTTTTAAATTTTTCTGTATTAGTGATATATCTACATGCAATTTACTGAAGTATAATAGTTTTTATAATACAATTTGAACTTGAATCTTCTAGAGTTCCACAATGGCAAAATTCTATGAAGAAGCAAGGGCTCAAAAATTACACTGATCTAATGTCTGTTCATGTCACTTCTTTTGTTTGGCCTGTTTGTACGTTCTTTTGGGAGCTGTTTTTTTTCTTTAGCTTGTTGAGCTTATGTCTGTCTTGCGTCCACATATAATTAGAAATTACTTATATTGTACATCTTCTATCACAGGTGGATTTTAACTAGGAATTATAAAGCCCTCAGTAAGGGTTCAAAAGGCAGTACCTCAGGCTTTTTGAACATCATGATGGAACTCAAGAAGTGTTGTAACCATTGCTACCTCATTAAACCACCGGATGATAATGAATTCTATAATAAACAGGAGGCCTTACAGGTAATATTACTTTTTAATAATAATTAAAAACAAGTATTGTTTTACATCTGTAATATTCACACAATTCTATAGTGCTCTGGCAGTTTATTAATTCTTACTGAAATATATTAAGAAAAAACAGGTTCTCTGGAAAATATGCATCCTGGGTCTTACGGGTAAGCGAATTGATTTTTGTCTTACTTGGATCTGAATAATTGACACATAATTGACAAAATAACCCCAATTTTAATTACAGTCAAAGTAAAAATGTAATCGTTTGAAACAGGTTCTGTATTTTCATGCAAAACAAACTATTTTAAACCTAAGTAAAATAAAATAGCTAAGCACATAAATGTAGTGTAAGTGGAAATGCATGTGACTAACAATGATGCATCAGCAATCTATGTGATAATAGAAGGTGGTCTTCAGAATGCTTTTAAGCTTTTTTTGTAATCACATACTGTTCTCTGTATGCCTGCAAACAACCAAAGTGAAAGGAAATGAAAGCAATAAGCATCCAAAGCTCAGTCTGATTTTGTTGTTGTTGTAACAGATGAAAACAATTATCATCACTACCAAAGATGGTCTGTTGTTTCTTTTTTTTTTTAAAGTTAACTAGTATTTGTACCAAAACTGTTGAGAAGCACAGCAACAGATAAGACGACTGTTTTTGTTGATGTAGTTTATACCCACATAAATGTTTCCAAAGATGATTTTTTTTCTGCAAGCTTTCAAGTTGATAACTTAAATACCTTCTCAAAGCTACTAGTTTGTGTAGTGGCAAATATCCACCTCCTTTCTGGCATTAAGAATAAAAGCACCTAACTCAGAATTTAGCATTCCCCAAAGTTCCATCCCAAACATCTTCACCTAAAGAGGCCTAACGTTTTCAACATTAAATTTCACATTTGCTTGAGTTTCTGTTTTAGTTGTTCCCCATGGAGCTCAGAAGGTTTTACAGGCTTTAGGTGGTCTAGAATGTTAAGCACCATAAACAAGATTCCTCTCATTTATTCTTGCCTGAGAAACTTGATTGATAGGCTTAGAGGGTTAAGCATTGTCTAACCAGCTGCAGTGTGTATTAGTGTTGAGATGAACTTAATTTTGTAATATGTATTTCTTGGGTTTTGTAGCATTTAATACGTAGCAGCGGGAAACTAATCCTTCTTGACAAGCTACTGATTCGTCTGCGAGAACGTGGCAACAGAGTTCTAATTTTCTCACAGATGGTGAGGATGCTGGACATCCTGGCAGAGTATCTGAAGTATCGTCAGTTTCCCTTTCAGGTAAGACTCTTGGTGGTAGTAGCCAAGATCTTGAATATGAGAAAAATATTCTCTTCACTCTGAGGGTGACAGAGTACCGGAACAAGTTGTCCAGAAGTTATGGAATTTCCATCCTCTGTGACATTCAAAAGCCACCTGGACACGACCTTGGGCAACCTGCCTTAGCTGTCCCTGCCTGAGTAGAGGAGTTAGACAAGATGAGGACCTCCAGAGGTCCCTTCCAACCTCAGCTGTTTTGCGCATATGTGATCTTTACTGCTTTCTTTAAGAAAACATACAAGAAAATGTGGGGTTTGTTTCTAGAAAGACTGGCAATTGCGATATGCTAAACAGTACTTTGAAGTGAAAGCGATGAATTAAAAAATTGTGTGAAAAATTGTGTTGTATTACTTTTTTTTCCTTCACATAACAGTGAGAATTTGGCAGTTGAGAATTCAAGTTGCTCTGATTTCAAATATAGTATAAGGATTACTTTTTAACTGTAATATTCAATCTCTTTAAGAGACTTGATGGATCAATAAAAGGGGAATTGAGGAAACAAGCACTGGATCATTTTAATGCAGAAGGATCAGAGGTATGGTATTTTTTTCCTAAGGAATCTGTTTTATTTTTTCCCAAGAAACTTTAAAAAAATGACACAAAAAATGAAGGCTCAGAAAAGCGAGGAATATATCAATAAGGTTGAAAATTAATTGTTATTGCCTGGACTGTAAGGTTTACATCTGTTAATTTTTTTCTCTAAGAAGAGATTAAGTAGGAAATGCATAACCTTTTTTTTTTTCTAAAGCTCTTTATCAAAGTAATTTTAATTACTGTATAAATGCTGCAGAAACTTAACCTTAGTTTTGTTGCTGTGTAGAACTTAACCCAACAATGTTTGCAAGAGCATTGAACTTACATAAGCAGTTAGCATCAAAAACATCCTTTGGCAATGGGCAGAACTAACTTGTGTATGTCCTTGCATGAACAAGCACCTTTGGTTGGTTCAAATCTGACTTCTGTTATCTTCATGTGTTGCCACCTACTTACTTGCCCTGGAAGAAATAACGGAGAACTGATTTCTAGCCATTCAATGTGAGAAACCTGTGAATACATAAGTGTCTGTTACAGATTCTTTCTTTTCTGAGTTGGAAAATTGGTAGCTTATTTAGCATTCCTAATTTGCAAGCCATTCTATACCTTTGATCAGCTTAAGTCTTTATCTTACACTGGCAGATTTGGGAGAGGGGATGTTATTTTGGTTGGGGGGTTTTTGTTTGTTTTTTTAATAGGTAATTGAAGGATAGTATTTATCAGTTGCAGCTGAGTTTGTTTCTGCAATGATGGAGGGAGAAGGACTTAACAAATGTCTGAAGTTTACATTATGGAGTTAAATACGGAAGTTAATTCTGTTTCGAATTTCTAGCATAGACATTGTTGCCTTTTTCTGAAATCCTTACACTTACACTGTATATTTTTTGAGATGAAGAGGAATTTAAACTTCATCCATTTCAAAAATGGAGATGAACTATGCATTTGTGGCAGCAACAAAATTATGTTCTCAGTTTTATTTTTTAGTTCTTTCCTAAAAATTCAGAACATTCTGAATGGTTTTTGGCCATTATGGAGCTTTTCATTACATGGAAATTTCTAACACAATTCACAGGACTCATTCCGAGTGTAATGATATGATATTTCCTGAAACTGTACTGAAAATTGGGACTTTTTTTTTTAACCTGTTTTACTTTATCTTGAATTTAATCAAATGTTGTTTTATTTCATGTCTCAAGATTCTTCTACAGTCCTTCATAGTTGTGTTTGAATGAGTAATTCTGTGTGACCTACAGGCTTTTCACCTCATTGCTTATCCCTTTTTCATATTGTTCATGTGTATGTTGAATAGCATTGAAGCTGGCAGAAGACTTTTACTTCCTGTCTCTTGAACAGCCTGTAGGCTTAAGCATCTTTCCTGATCTGGCATGGCTACTTAGTCTTCTAGGGCTTGGGGCAGGGAGTGTGGGAGAGGGACTTTGTAATATACAAGGTTTTAACAGTGGGGTTTTTGTACTTTTTAGCCAGTCTTTTGTTTGGTTGGGATTTTTGGTTAGTGATGAGCTTGTAAGATGCTGCTTCCTTTAAACTGTTGAGAAGTTGGTAACTATTTATGAAAGAAATTTACATCAATGCTTGCTTTATACTTAAAGAAGCTTTAACTATAGAACAGTTATGGAATTGGTAGTAATATGTATTTTGTAGTCTGTGCCACAGGCTGCATAAACAAGTGTCATACTGGTTCCTTTAAGAGTATTAAAACTGTTGTATATAAAACTATTTCTTATGATTTCAGGATTTCTGCTTTTTACTCTCTACCAGAGCTGGAGGATTAGGTATCAACTTGGCATCTGCTGACACTGTAGTTATATTTGATTCTGATTGGAATCCACAGAACGATCTACAAGCACAGGCTAGAGCGCATAGGATTGGACAGAAGAAACAGGTACATACATTCAGCTTTAAGCTCCAAACCTGAATGAGGGTTCCATACAATAGCTGTCCACTTTGCCTACACTATTCAGTCTTCTTGTATTTCTGAGAATAACTAATACTTGCTGCATATGTCCAAAAATGTTAGTAGTGCTCATTTAACTTTCTTTTTTTAAATATCCCTGTATGGAGAGATAACATAGTACCTGTGGTATATGGATGGGAGGGGGAGAAGAGTTGTGGTCTTGTCTGTCCCACGTTCATTGGCATCATGTCATTTTAGAAAATAACTGCTACATCATGCTTATCACCCTTCCTTAAATATTTGTTAGTTCCCTTCAGGTTTCTTTCTTGCAGAAGACATACAGTAATAATTGGAAATATGACAGTTTTGCCTGTGGCAATGCTTGTGTCACATAACTGAAGCTTAAAAAAAGAGGGTGAAGAGTTTATTTCTCTGGATTTTTTTTAAAATGCTTATGTAAAGACTGTGGTAAGGTGATTGAAATAGTATTTCATATTTGAAACTAGTCAATAAATTCAGAAGATATGTAGTGAAGACTGATATTTCTCCTTGTTGTTGCTTATTTTATTAAAATATACATAGGTTAATATTTATCGGCTGGTCACAAAAGGATCAGTAGAAGAAGATATTCTTGAAAGAGCCAAGAAAAAGATGGTGTTGGATCATTTAGTAATTCAGAGAATGGACACTACAGGGAAAACCATACTACATACAGGCTCTACTCCTTCAAGGTATATTTGTATTTATTTCCATACCAAGTTACCCTTAAGTATATTTGACAAGTAGTCAAAAATGAAATATTTCATTTTGTTAATGAAAGGCAAAATAAGGTTAAATAAGTAAAGACACAAATTATATTGTCTTTGCGGATTTTTATTTGCTTATTAAATATAAATAGTTTTTATTTAACAGTAAGAAGAAAGCTTAATTGACTCATGATTATAGAGAACTTTTTCAAGTTACTAAGATAAAATGTTTTTCCTGAAACACCCTTTATTTCAGCTCAACCCCTTTTAATAAGGAGGAATTATCAGCAATTTTGAAGTTTGGTGCTGAGGAACTTTTTAAAGAACCTGAAGGGGAAGAACAGGAGCCCCAGGTAAGTAGTGTTTCTGGACTAGATAGATAAAACAACTGAAAGCCTGTATGAATTATTTCATTGTAAAGAGAAACTTATTTTTTAGGAAATGGATATAGATGAAATCTTGAAGAGGGCTGAAACTCGGGAAAATGAGCCAGGTCCATTAACTGTAGGAGATGAGTTGCTTTCACAGTTCAAGGTATTGCTCTGTTCCCTCCCTCCTGCCGTAATTACGCTTTCCTTTATAAATAGTACTGGTTTTCTTTTTTGCACCTATCCATCTCTTCATTCTTAGGAAATAGATGCCTCAGTACGTTAAGTCTATACCTCTTTCTTATAAAATATCTTTTCACCTGTACATAATACCTGGCCATCAGTATAAACATTTACAAACACACGATGTATTTTGGTAATAAAATAAGAGATATTTATCAATGTGTTAATGATTAAAATTCTAGGTAGTTTTGTTTTTATTTACTACCTTTGTTGTTAAGCAGCTGTGATATCTTTGAATGCAAAATACGAAGTTTGCATTTCTTAGTTGATGACTTCTAGAAATAGCTTTTAGCCCAGAAGTAAACTTGAATCCCAGGTATTTTAAGTGTTTTCAGTTAAATGTGTTATAATTTGGGTGCAAAAAAACCCAAAAACAGAGCATGATATGTTTGTTTAGATTATTAAGTAGCTCTCCTGCTGATTGTTCATTTGCAGCATATTTTGATTTCTATAGTATATTAATATTCTATAGTATGTTAATATTTGGTCAGTTCTATGTTATTATAGTTTCACATTAACTCAGGTATTCAAGTGTTGTTTAGCCCTGTTTTGAAGGAAGCTAAACAAGAATCATAGAATCAAGCTCTCAGGGCATATAATATTATGCATATTATATTAGTCAACTTTTAAAAGAATAAAAAGATTCTTTTCTTATCTTAGCCCATGTTGCATGGAAACTGTGTCTGTTTCTACTTCCATTACAGATAGTGTTTCATGAAGCATTTTGTATGTATAAATTTTTATATATTATAAAACAATAGCATATATTAATGCATAAAATATGCCACCTAGAACCTTTTTTTTCCTAAAACGTTAGTTTCACAGTCTTTTTCAAATAAAGTCATATATTGATGTGATGAAAATACGTATATTCTGATGTACAAGGTGGCCAACTTTTCCAATATGGATGAAGATGATATTGAGTTGGAACCAGAAAGAAATTCAAGAAATTGGGAAGAAATCATTCCAGAAGTCCAGCGGCGAAGAATAGAAGAGGAGGAAAGACAAAAAGAACTTGAAGAAATATACATGCTCCCAAGAATGAGAAACTGTGCAAAACAGGTGTGTCTTGATTCTGACTGACTTGCACTTCTATGTTGCTGTAGGTTTAGTTTGTTTATGGGGGTTGTTGCTCAGGTTTGGGGTTTGGGTTTTTTTCCTTAACACATATTTTTGGCGGACTAGGTA